CACTCTCTCTACTCATCTGTCCATCAGATAACTGGCAGATAGAAGCACACACACAACTGCTAGTATCTGCCTCCAGGCTATTTCAATTTCACTCATTTAATCTTGAAGTATTTACATTCCTTGCAGCTAGTACGACACTGTGCGCGTGCACACTCACACATGTTTGCATCAGTGCTTTGAAGTGTGTGCTCTGGTGTGTGCGTGAGCTTAAAGACAGGAGTGTGTCTCCATTCCACCTGCTGCTTTTCAATCCAGATGAGTTGGTGCATTTCAAGCTTATTTCTGTTGTTTCTGTGCTGTTATTGCAACCTGCCTCCCCTTCCCCTCCCTGTCACTTGCACTCAGCTCATGTGTGTGCTTGTGTGTGTGTTTGTGTGTTGTTGTGTTGGTTTTACTAGGCCCCTTCCCCAGTGAACCCCAGTGCGCTGGACCGCACAGCAGCCTGGCTATTGAATATGAATGTGCAGTATTTAGACCATGAGGGGATGGAGCCCGAGTCACTGAGAAACAGAGAGGATCTGACTCAGGTGGAGAAGGTAACCTGCCTCCTCATCCAACCTTTGACCTTTACCAACCCCTCCTTTCACAAACCACCTCAACCTTCAGCCCTGAAACTCCCACTTAACTATCCTTCCTTTCTTTACCTCTCATTAGTTCCCACATTCACCTCCCTTCTTAAACACCCCTTCTACACTTAACAATCTGCTATATTTATTCCCACTTTGCCCTTGCCTTTCCTCTAAGCCTGAGGTCCCTTAGACATATCCAAATTGCCACTTAAAATCATAATATCTGTATTTATAACATAAAATTGAGGTAAATAGGATATATTGTGCATCAGTCTGGTTCTGTATGTGACCCCATAACACCTCAAGCTCCCATTTTCCTGAAATTGGCGTTTCAGTGATGTTCAGGCTGTTTTTTCTGGAATATTTTGTCAGCAAGCAGTGGGCCTGGTTGTGGCTGTCAACTGCAGGAAAGTCATAGCAACAGCAGTAACGGCAGAATGTAGATTACAGTCAAAATAATTGTGAGGCTAAATATAGCAGACAAGAATATCAGCGTGGTTGTCTGCAGATGCCAGTGTTGGATATTACGATAGCAAGGATTATTTTTGTTATCTATTAATCTGCAGTTTATTTTGTCAAGTCATCATTTAGTCTCCCACAGCTTGAGGAGATGTGCTCAGATGTGTCAGTCCAAAGATATTCACTATCTTTACTATCATATATGACTTGAAAAGGCTGAAATGTCTGCCATATCGCTTGAAAAATGACTAAAACAATTAGTCGATAATGAAAATCATTGCATCTTAATTTTCTGTCAATTAGTTAATGGACTAATTATTGCATTCGGAGGACTTGGCTAACAACTTCCTGTCTCAAGACATTTTCACGCTGACTAACTTAACTTTAACAAAGTTAGATGTTGTAGTTTTAACCTTCTCGTCTCTCCACACACCCCTCACAACTCCCCCCCCCCCCCCGTGTGTGTATGTGTGTGTATGCACATGCAGTACATTCACACAGACATGTTGGAGCTTGTGTGCGCTTGCATCTATGTGCGAGATAGAGACAGAAAGAGGCTTTTTGCTGCTGCTTTCCTCTGCCTACATTCCTGCTTCTCTTCTCAGCAACCTTTATAACCGTTCACCCTCAGCTTTGCCTCCATGCTTTGATTGGCTGCCACATTCTCCCCCATTTTTTTTCCATCCATAATGAATACAAACCTGTCATCCTAACATAGCTCATACTTCATGGAAGCCAGAAGCCCAGGCAGGGAGAGCAACCAAAGAAGGCAATAACTTCAGTCTTAACAAAGAAGCCGCAGCCACCTTAAAATAGCAGAGCAGCAACAAGAGAAGCATTGGGAAAACAGTACATCTTCCACAGCAGCTTAGACACAGGCTGCAGCTAATGGCCCATACAGACTTAACACTACCGTTGCCATTTTTGGCTTTCACACCCATTTGCATATACTGTATATATTCAGTGATCTGTGTCAAATTAGGGCATGCATTTGTCTTGTTAGGAGGAGTCAGGACATAGAACAGAACTTTTAATAAATAAATAAATAATTTGCTGATTTAGATGAACACTACAAAGTGCAATAATAAGATACTAGTAGTTTTTTGTTTTTGTTTTTTTAAACGCGATTTGAAATGTAATTAAATTATCCAGTTGAACAGCACTGAATATGTAAGAAGTGTTTTGTTGAATAGCACAGTAGGAAATTAATGTTACTGTTGTTATGGAAGATATGAGTTCTTTTTTATAAAACTTTTTATCATACTTTATTGCAAGATAATACCAAACTAAATTGCTTACACTGCATGAAGGAAAAACTCATCTACATAATTATACATATAAGAAATACATTTAAGAGGAACATCCTGTGCTATTGCAATTACCAAAAAGCAGGCAAAAAAATCATTAAATTCAGTACTTCAGTTATGTTACAAAATACAAAAATCTGATTAATTGTATGACTAACTTGTTAATTGTATATAATCATCATATTATTTAATTTCCTCTATTCACTAATGACAAACAAGATTCACTTGAATCCTCATAATCAAACATTTACGCCACCATCTTTAAATCTTTAGCTTATTTTCCATTTCCAAATTCCATTAAATGAGTGTCCTTTATAGATTTTGCCCCATTTCTGGAGTTAGTTTCATGCATTTTTCTAAATCTTTCTCTTTTAACAGTCCTTCCTAGTTCCATTTAGCTTTCCTTGAGTCCTGTGAAAGATGTGAGTTCAGTGTTGGTATGGTCGGAAATGTAATACTGATGATGTTAAATGTACATTTAACATCATCAGATGTAACATCGGGTGCAGATGCATCAAACCGCAGACTCTCTTTTGTCCCGAGCCCTGTTATCAATATTCAAATGTGTTAATTATATTCTTTAGTTAAATTAAATTTCACAACTGTCAACTGTCACAAAGAAAGACACTGAGATAATGCATTGTCTGTTACATATCAATCATTAGGACAGTTACAGCCTTACAGGATTTAAATACTCACATGTCCTTTGTGTCCAAAATACACACATATTTATGAGATAGACAAGTATTTATGAGAGGTCAGTGATGCAAAGGCACAGGGTTATATGTAAGCAAAACTTTTCACTCCACTCAATATTCAAACGCAGCCAAAATAGCCGATTGAACGTGTTTGTGTGAGGCTAAGATTTATACTCAGGTTTCAACGCAGCTGTTAAATAAAGAAGGAGAAGAGAACGTTCGATTAATTCTGTGTTTGTTTTTTCAAAACAGTGCATTAGAGAAAAGATTTGACCTATGTCCTGTGTTTCAAATAGATAGAGAGGATGCAGGAAAGAGAAGGTAGCCTAGGGCGGGGTTAAGGTTAAACCATGGGCCATGGGGGAGCAATGTTTGTGGAGTGGGAACACGGGCCTGTTTGTTCATTTCTTTTCTTTTATGTAAGAATACATCTGTGGTGCCATTTTAAAAGAGTTTGTTTTTAGGCTTGTGTCTGAGGGCTTCATTCCAGCAACCTGCACCAACGCAGATGTTATGAGGCCATATTTATTGTTTATTGGGTTATAACATAGCCTTGTATTTACAGTAGATTGTATTAAAAATTGTGTAAAAGTTTTAATTAACTACAAACGGTAAAACTTTTGTCAGTGGGCCAAATATTTCAGTTGGATGGCTGGATTTGACCCACGGGCCGCTATTTGCCTACCACCGGCGCACGGAAAGACATCTGGGGTACACAGTGCGACTGAGAGGCAGGACAAAGGCAGTTATAGATACAGTAGATGTCATTCACTCTCAGGGGATCTAGTGACAAGAGCAGACGGATATTAGAGATAGAGAGAGAGGAGTGGAGAAAGAGTAGAGGAGCTGATAAGATAAATCTATTTAAGGTCAATATTCCACCTGGGAAGGGGGCGGTGGCTGGGGGTTGATGGGAAAAATGTCCCCGTGGTAGGCAGGAAAGTGACATGTAAAAATAAGTAGAAGGTGACAAGGAAAGATAAATGATCTCAGCAGCATCCTAACTGTGTGTAACTGAATGTAATCATTCAGGGTGCTCTGATACACACAGTGTTCTCCATCACTTACTGCTGAATAATGAGCTGGATAATGTTCACATATAATACACACATAAACTGGTCATTTTGGTTGTTCATTTAAAAAAAAAAAAAGTTATATGAATACTATTGATTCACTGATTGGTACTTTTATTTTATTTCTCTGTTTGTTTGTGTTTGACTGTCAGCTATATAAAGGAGACTTTGAGGGTCAGATTTTATCAAATTATGACCTGATAACGTTCATAGCAGTGTGGTTCTATGGATGGCAGTGTCGGTTGAAATATCTCAACAACTACTGGATGGATCGCTATGTAATTTAGTAATGACACCCACGTCCCCTTGTGGATGAAATGTATTTTGTTTATCCTTTAAACCTTTCCTCTAGCACCATCATCAGATCAGTCCAGTGCTTTGGTTTATGACCTGCAGAGCTAATGCCATTCCCATTAACCTCAGCTGCACTCTTTGTTGAATTAATAAATGTTAGCATGCTAACACACATGCTTAACATGCTACCTGCTAAACATCAGCGTATTAACATTGTTATTGTGAGCAAGTTAGCATGTTGACGTTAGCATTTAGCTAAAAACATATAAAACATATGTTAGATTAATTCTCTAGTCAGTGCCCATGACCAAATGGATCTAGATCAGATCTGGAGTTGGTTCCCAGGCACAATGGTTGCCCACTGCTCCTAGTACTTAGAATGGGGTAAATGCAAAGTTGTACTGTGTATGATTGTATATGACAAATAAAGCTGATTTGATTCTTAAAGCCAGCCTCACAGAGCTGCTAGTACGGCTGTAGACTCCTGTACTCTCACCGGTCCTCCAGCGACACGCTGACTGACGAGAGCATCCGCTCAGTCACTATAAGAAATGTGTTTTTCTATCCAGAAGAGATTTTATTCCTCCATTCGTTTCCCCCCTCGCCTGAAGAAAACTCTTTTAAAAGCCTCTCTAAGGTCCAGTAAGAGGTCAGGGAGAGATTTTCAGGGCTTATTTCACAGACTCCTACTTCACTGGTTGCATCCCTCCCTCCACACCTCTTCTTTGTCTTTATCCATCCTTAACTTCCTTTCTTTTTCTCTCTGTTTTTTAGCCAGTTTAACCTCTCAACAGGTCACTGGTTTCAGAGCCAAACCCGAGGTCTGAATGCAGAAACAGCTGAATTTGAGTTTTTGGTTGTTTTTTTTTGCAATGAAAGCCTTGCTAGTATTGATCAAAGCTTCTCTGTGTTCGGAGTGTTTGATTGGAAAGAAAAAAAACATCATCAATTTGATTAAAATGAATGTTTTTCAAGGCTCCTATAAAGGTGTAGTTTAAAAGTGCAATAATGAAAATGGCTTGTAAATGATGCGTGTGATTCCCTGAGAGAGGCCGTCTCTCTTTTTCTAGGCAGAAATTATACTCAGTCTGAGGAACAACAGGACATAAGCTCAGACCTGATTGAGAGATTTCTTTTTCTTCTTGTCATTTATGGTAATGAAGAAGGGGATCCTGCTGATAGGATTTATAATGCCGATGATGATGATGATTATCGTGATGATAACGACAGCAGCGATGATGAGAAATCTCCTCATCTCTCCGCCTCTCTGTTCAGTACCAGCAGGAGATCGCGGTGCTGCAAGAGAAGCTGCGGGCGTCTGTGCAGAAGCTGGAGGAGTACGAGGCCCGTCTGAAGGGTCAGGACGAACAAGCCCAGAAGGTGCTGATGGAGTACCAGGCCAGGCTGGAGGAGTCGGAGGAGCGCCTGCGCAGACAGCAGGACGACAAGGACCTCCAGATGAAGGGCATCATCAGCAGGTAGGGGATGCGGCGGAAATGCAGTGCAGCCTTGTGCAACCTTTCTGTTGAGTTCTTTTAAGAGTTTATTCAAATTCATCCCTTTTCCAGGTTAATGTCGGTGGAAGAGGAGCTAAAGAAGGATCACTCAGACATGCAGGCAGTGGTAGACTCCAAACAGAAGATCATCGATGCACAGGTCAGTTTGCTCTTTGCCAAACACGCTGATAGACAGAAAATATCTAGCCTTATATACATATATCTAAATTTGTATGTCACTTGTGTCGTCTTCTTGAGGGAAACAAAGGGTCACTAAAATACAAAGAGATGTTTAATTCATAGCTGTGTCTGAGCAGAGTTTCTCAGCTCCCTCCCACTCCCTGTCTTATAAAACATACATTTACAAATGTCTTATCTAGTTTTCTGTCAACATGTAGCCCCTCTCTAATCCATGTGGTTCTTATTCATATAAAACCATGTGGAAAATCCTTCTTAGCAAACAAAAAAGTGTTGCTTTAGAGCGCTTGGCTGCAAGGAAATGTTGATTGTAATTATAAATTAAGCAGAGAATGATTGTGTGGGCATAGCTGCTGCCAGGAAGGATTAAACACTGCTCGAGTGTTTGTTACCATCGTCTGTAGATACCGTTTCTTCTATACGCCGGATAAAGTGTGCATTATATGCATGCAGACACACACAATGCAAATGTGCATCTTTGGAGATTAATGTCAAAGTGATTTTACAACAAAATGGGCGAGGGGGGGGGGGTTTGGAAAATATGCGGCAACATGACATTTACACAAACCCAGACACAGACATGCATAGATGATTAATCTCCTCCACGTAATGAGACTTTGCATCTGCAAACAAACGCGCCACAGTAAGGCAATAAGTTGTCTTCCTCGGTAAACAGGCTGAGAGAATGAAAATAAAAAACTCATTACGCAGGCAGGGAGGGAAGTTTGCTTCTGTGGCTCAGCCCTGCCCACATTATGAAATTAACACGGGAAAGCCTCGCGCAAGGAGCACTCATACGGAGAGATTTGTAAGTGGCACGTAATTTGTCACATCAATTTTCTCGTACTCACAACCGGGTACAAACGAAAATGTATGAGTGGCCGAGACCCACCACATACAGATGTCTCTTGTGAAGCACTTGATTTAAGAATTACTGTATAAATCCATCTTCTTCTGATTGTTTAAATGACAGAAATCACCTAAAATAAAAAATAAGCTTGTAACTATACTACAATCTTCTCTCATCACACCACTTGACCGCCTCTAAGTCAGGAATGGCTTTCCTTTCGCAGCTCGTATTTTTGGCATGTAATTTCGTGTAAAATTTCCTATTTATTTCTGTGATGGCACAGCGTTGACATCTGTAATATTCTCTCTTTTTTTGGGGGGTCCACTAATAACAAACTGCCACTGCTAAACGTGTCATTTTGCTACAGCAGGCCTTGAAGCTTGGTAACTCTGGCATAACCTCCACCTGGGGAGGGACAGATCATTGTGGCTTGTCTGTAAATATTGAAATAAGTTTGTTCTTTTACTGAGTCTCTGTATTTATGTGTGTGTGCAGGAGAAGCGCATAGCATCGTTGGATGCTGCCAACGCCCGTCTGATGAGCGCTCTGACCCAGCTGAAGGAGCGCTACAGCATGCAGACCCGCAACGGCATCTCCCCCACCAACCCCACCAAACTGCAGATTACTGAAAACGGAGAGTTTAGGAACAGCAGCAATTGCTAGACAGACTGGTACCTGCCCAGAGTGAGTGTCGAGTGCCTGGTGTGTACAGATATTCAACGAGAGGACGTCTACACGCATGCATGGATGCATGCCTGTTCGAAAGACTGCGAGGATGAGCGCGTGTTTTTAAAAGCAGACATACTACTTCTTGGAAGACATCTCCACTTTTTAGTCATCACTCCGAGGGGGGGGGGG